TTTCGATTTGGAAACGTTATATTTAAAACCACGCGCACGGAATCGTGTATAAATGATTATTAAAAACAAAGCAATTCGTAATTTTAGCGAAATCGAATGGTACAGTCATTATTACGTGGTAAATCATTTTATACGAGTCCAACGAGTTTTTGTTTGCCCGCTAAAAAACCGTGCTTATGAGATAAGTCGATGAGATCGAACAATCATTCGGCAATACCTATTATCTTATCAAAGTCTAAAAGCAAATTATGTATACATTTCCTGTTTGGTTCGTTTCTCGAATCTTTAATCAAAATCATACCAATAAGCTCATACCAATAAGCTCATACCAATAAGCTATGTGACCGAACTTAGTTACTGTCTACTTACAAAATACATTGAAATACTTCTAAGGCAGCGGACTGAATAATGTGGAAAATCAGAAATCATACACGCGTAGGTACTACCTACATAATTATATATCATAATATCAACATGAATAGTTATTTACTTGATTTGCTTTGCGGCCTCATAAGCTATTCGACACTGTGGCGTGGGCACGGCACACAATTTACTCGGATGGTCGACGGATTGGCGGCTTTTATTTATCAATATAATTATAAACGATGCTGTTATTACCATATTATTATTCTTTATTCGTTTTACAAATTATACCTTTAAGAGTGTAACGAGCATTTTTTTATTAAGAAACGATAGTTTCTAGTAATAAAAAAAAAAAAAAAACATCATAGCAAGTATAATATATTATTTGAAATGGTTTGTTAGTAAATGTAGTATACGATAACAAATGGGTTTGTGAGTCATAGGCTTATAATTGTGAGTAAAACAGAGTTAATGTTAATTCAATTTTGACTTTTAAAGATTATTATAATCTATATGAGTTTAGGTTTTTTTTTTAATTATTAACTACATGCAAGATTATTAACCGATAATTAAATTGATTTCATTGAATCACATTTATCTATTTAAATTTGATATATTTATAAATCATAAATTATTTTTATAGATAGACATCGATTTACTAATGTTAATTGGGTTCAATCTATAGCATGCAAACAGTTTTATAATTTATTCATTGTGAACGTATTCTTAACTGTCACAATATGATGTGTCCGCGCTTACGACACATAATCTATAATTATTTATTTATGTACATATTATATATATAATATTTATTTTATTAAAAGGCAAATTAATATGTCATACATATAACATTTCTTCATGAAATGAGAGCCTGTGACTTACAAAATATTGCATAAATATCGTTGCAATACTACATTACTACCTGAACAACGGATTTAAGACAATATACCCCATTATAATTTATACTAATAATTGTATATTAATATTGGAAAATCTGATAGAATGGAGTATTTCATAAATCTGCAAAAATATAGTTAGTCTAACATATAATTGCTAATCGATTAAAATGTATCTTATCTTACACTATTTAGGCTTACATAAAAATATGCCTCAACTGTTGAAACACTATTTTTGTAAACGACGCAAAGTGATATTTTATTTTAAAATTTTTTGAATGTATGTATTGTGATTGTATGCAGCCAAGTGGCTGCTGTCACTACTGGTACAAAAAAAAAAAAGAATAATAAAATGTATTACATAGAAAATCAAATCACTGGTGACCAATTTGTCCAATACGTTACGTACCGTATGTGGTAGATACATAAGTTAAACCTATCTAGGATAACCAGTAATAACTAATACGGGGTCGATAATTCGTAGGTGCAAATAGAAATAAATATTTTATTTTCGAGCAGAAGATAATATTGATGATTAATATAAAAAATATTTTATGTAGGTACCTACTGATAGAAAATTAGATGTTTTAAAGTTGTCACGTGAACTCTATAATTTATACACAATTTAGTCAAAAAAAAAAAAAGTATTAATAAATATTTTTGTTCACATTTTACAAACTTAAAACTGGTAGTACACATTATATAATAAGAAAAACTATAGAACTATATAACTAAAAAAAAATAATAGATAAATATATTATATTAAAATCACACTAAACTTTGTGTCTTCATCAAACCGCGAAAAAGCAAAAAAAAAAAAAAAATGACAATAAACACTTACACAGTACGATTATGCAAACTTTTGAATATTATAAATATATTATAATCACTGACCTGAAGTGTGTCTATCGTGTCCACCGCTGTCTCCTATTGAAGTTATAGTGTGATCTCGGATGCAATGACGAACGAGACAACTGTATTAGTAGAAGTGAGATTTAGGAATCAACATAGGAATTGTCATCGGCGTGATTCGAGAAAAATATTATCGTCTAACCTTTGACTAATTGACGGCGATAACATATAATAGTAGGTAATTACTGTAGTAGCTTGACTGGTCCATGGCACCGGAACTGACGTCATGTAATTGGGCAGTTGTTTTTTTTTAAGTTTTTTTAATCCTCTGTTTTTAGCAATTGTTTTGTTAAGAATAAAATTATTGGAAACATTAACATATATTTTGATGGTTTTATTTTTTATATATTTTTTAATTTAAATGCATTTTGTTTTTTTAACTAATACACATTTACTCAAGAGCGATTTCGAGGTGGGGGAGGGGGGCTCTAGGACCTGCTCCCCTTTAAGCTCGTATTTTTAAAAATTAAGTAATAAAAAAAATATATTCCATTGGCTATTATATACACATAATAGTGTGTGGTTAGGGTGTTTATTTATAATATAGAATATTAATAAACTATAATAATAATACCATCATATAATGTTATTATGAATATTATGGCTTTACCCTCCCACCCCAACCAAATCTTTAAAATTGCCCCTTCATTTATACCATATTATATACACGAGTACCTACATGACCCTTTACGACATTATGTGATGGCATTTTTTTAATCAATTTTATGAACTTTTTGTTCGTTTACCGTAATATCTATGTAAATAAGTTTTTTATAATATTTATTTGATCAAGAAAATGAGGTATTTTGGAGTTAAAAATTTGCAATTTTTCTTAATATTTTTTTACATCTTTTTATGAATTGTTTTGATTGTGAGTAATATTTATGATATGAAACACATAATAGTTTTGTTTTTTAAAGATTCGTAGTTGAGATTAAAAAAAAATTAAAATTAAATATTTTTTTTTTTTAAAGTATCTACTTAATGAAAAAAAAAAAATCAAATATAATAATATTTGAATATTTCACATTCTTTTAACTCTTTAAAATTGAAATTTTGAAAAACTATCGGTGGGAAAATACAGATTATATTCTTACTTTTAAATTTGATATACAATTATATATTTATACATACATACTCGTATACATAATTTGACTCACTCCAATATTAAAATTAATACAATTAAATTGATTTTGTTGAATGTAAATTTACCATGTTATACGGTTTTATGATAAAAAAATCTTCACCAATGGTGAATTCTTAACAAAAAAATTTGTTTTAATTTCCTCAATACTTACCCCGTTAAATTGTAGGTATATAATTTTATAATACTTAATCCTTGTGAAATGTATTTATGTATGTCATACTTACATTAATTATCATCATTATATCGGTTCAAAACAGATTTTATTTCGTTAAATGAGAATATTAAAAGTAGATATTGTACATAATATGTCATTGTATGTTATCCAATATTATATAATATACAATACCTCCTTAATTGTTATTACGTACATTTTATGTCTTTTAATTTTATTTATGACCACCACACCTTAATTATCGACGATCGACTTGGCTTGACAATGAAATACATATATGTATTATCTCAATACGATCGTTATAGGTAACCACAACAATCGAAAACGATTTAATATTTATGGTATCTACCTAGTTGCGGTACACTAGCAGTGGGCAGGTACCTGTACCAAAATTGTTGGTGTTTACCTGTTAAAAACCTTAATGTGGTATCATTTTGACGAGTAAAATAAGTTATTATTGTTTACAAGTCATAAAAATGAAAATATTTCATTTTTTTTTTTATAATTTATTATTTTACTCTTTGTTAAAATAATTTCGTTTTTGAGACTTATTATGATGTTATACATATATTTAGTATAATATTTGTAATGTATAATGAAAAAAATTTGAGTTCAATGTTGTGTCTATAGCTAATTTATGAATATATTCATGTACGTACGAAATTTGAGCCCTAAAAGTTCCCTTGATTTTTAGCTGTATAATACTTACCGTTCGTCGAGTACTTAATGATCATCGGTGTCTTCCACAACCAATATGTTCAGCTATCATAGCACAAGCCACGAGACCAACACTATGCGAATAATATACATTTATATTATTCGTAATACGTAAAAATGTAAACACATCAGCTGATATTATATAGATACGACAGTGTCGTAACGACTCACACACACACAGACGTAAATTACAAAAAAAAATGATTTATTTTAAAAGACAATATTTATTGATAAGAATACGTAATTAAGTAAAATACATGTATAATATTAAATTATTAGGAATTACAGGAACGAGAAAACACAATTTTTTCAAATAGGTATGAATTATAAATTATTATTGAATTAATTTTAAACGAGAATACCATGCGATGACATATATACAGTTTTGAACAAATTTTTCAGATAAAAAAAAAAATATTGTTAACATTATTAATTTTTAATTATTAATATACAGTGAAATATTATTTGTACATCAAGTATAATAAACAGTTAAGTATTTGTTAATATTGAACTTCAACTATTTGTAATTTGTATACAATATAAATTCAAATTATTTTTAATATATACATTTTTGCGTTTAATATAAAGTTAACGGCTTAAGATATGTGAACAATAGGTGTGGAACAAAAATTATAATGTTTATGTAAACTTAATGAAGCATAAGTACAGTACTACGGCCGATTAAATACGGATAAATTAATATGAAAATAACTATAAATGTTCGATATAATAATAATAATAATATTATGTAAATAAGTCATTAAAATAAAATCGCCCCTTTTTGAGCGGGCATTGTAAATAACTAGGCGTGACGTTAATAACCGTTTTTGTAATTTAAAATGATAGGGCGCGAGGGTGATCAGATAATTAATAAAATATAAGTTTTGTAATAACTATAGTTATTGCGGTTTTGAAAAATGTTGTGTTTGTTTTTGTAAAACACCTTAGTAAAAACCATCAATGTGCCGTAAGCAAAAGCTTTTCAGAAAAAAAATTGTCTTCCCTACGAGATATATATTATATATGTATATTCTTAAACGAACGGGTAAAAACGTCACGCTAAAAAAGTGCTACTGTCGAATTATATCACAATTTAATAACAAGCAATTATTGTGGTAAGCTGTCTCCGATCGAAAACTGTGCGAACAAAATGAAATGTTGACGTCCAGCGGGTCGCGAGACGGTCGATCGGAGACGTGCTTTACACACCTACTAATATCTACGTCTACAGATTAATAAAATATTAAAATCAAAAATACGCTTACTAGGTCACATTATTCTCAACCTCATTTTCATTCTCATTCTCGTTCTCAATCTCGTTAACATTCTCAATATTCTCGATTTCATTAACATTCTCGTCCTCATTCTCAATCTCGTCGACATTCTCAATATTCTCGATTTCATTAACATTCTCGTCCTCATTCTCAATCTCGTCGACATTCTCAATATTCTCGATTTCATTAACATTCTCGTCCTCATTCTCGTTATGATACTCATTTGTTTTATTGAAATGTATATGAATTTGGATACCATAATTATTATTTGTCGTCAGCCCCACGGCATAGGCGAGCATTGTCAACGTGATAAACACGAACACGCAGATGAATATTACGTGGCAGTGGTATAATATAAAGTGCACCGCGTCGTACCATTGGTCGTAGGCGAGGTTGTACAGGAATTCGAGCTGATTGGCCGCTGCACGTACCATAGTAAAGTAGACGGAGATCATCGGAATTGACGCTAAGAATACTAAAACGACCATCACTGTGAACCAATGGTTGCCAAACATCATTTCCAACAAATCAAAGATGATGTACCTCTGTTCAGTATCGTATCTTTCGGTCTCGTCCTGCCCGGTCTCGTTTTGTCCGCTCTCGTCCTGTTCGTTCTCGTATTGTTCGGTCTCGTTTTGTCCGGTCTCGTCCTGTTCGTTCTCGTCCTTTCCGGTCTCGTTTTGTCCGGTCTCGTACTGTCCGGTCTCGTCCTGTTCGTTCTTGTCCTTTCCGGTCTCGTTTTGTCCGGTCTCGTCCTGTTCGGTCTCGCCCTGTCCGGTCGCGTTCTGTTCGGTCCAACTCCATCCGTCCTCGTTCTGTCCGGTCGAGCTTTGTCCGGTCTCGTTCTGTTCGGCAGCGTTTTTTTCGATCGAGATCGGTTCGGTTTTCTGGCTCGGAACGGTGTGCATCGTGGAACGGTCCTCCGGCAGTGGCTGAGTACGGCGGTGGCTGAGTACGGCGGTAATTGATATCGTGCGGCAGGTGCGGCGCGCTTGACGTTGAGATGAGAATTGCGTAACGAAGGTAAACGTAGGTGTGCTGGTGAAGAGGCTGTACGTTTGGTGGGTTGAGGGTGGGTAGCTGTTATTCGGGCGCACGCGCCGTGGCTAGGGCAGAGACAGACAGTTGGAGACGGCGGCGGCGTCGACGGTTTGACACGCGCGCTGTTTGCGGGTTTTGCCGCAAACGAAGGCGTGCTGCTCGCGCCACTTAATCCGCCGCCACTCTAACCGCTACTACCCGCGCCGCGGACGTCGCCACTACCGGCCACTGGACAGCCGCCTTTCCAATGACCGCGGCCAATGTCTTGATTACATGTTAAAACATGATGAAAATGGCTGCTTATACTTACTTTTGGCCAACAAGCCGTCAATCAAAAAACTGAATTGCACTCTATCAGCCAACTTCGCGGATAAAAAAAAAAAAATAATTATATATTAGTAATGGTTTACCTGAATTGGTTTATTAAGACTTTTAGGCATACTAATATATAAATATAATTTATTAAATTAATATAATGGTCGCAGACACAATAATATTATAACCTGTTCGCTTTTTACTTGAATTAAATAAAACGCAAAGGATGTACGCCTGCTAATTTAATAATTTTATATGTAACTTAAAATAATTATAGATATGACAAGATTTCGATGTGTATGTTTTTTTTTCTAGAGCTACACACGTTCGTTGTATTCATTTACCGTTGATTTTCCAATCGGAATAAAACGTTTTAATTTTGCATTTTTAGAGAATTCAGGGTTTATCTTGCTAAGCAAACTCTAAAATATGATATTTTCAAAACTGTGTTTTAAAATTTTTAATCAAAGAATTTCTTTAAAACGTGCCTACAAGGTTTTTATCTAATTAAATATTTATTAGGTATTGTCAATGTTTGATTATAATTATTCAAACAGATAGGTACGTACGACGTAAAAATTGAGATAACGAGAGGTGACGGTAAACTGAATTAGAATAATTATTTTTTCAAATTAAAAGAACACTTAAAAGATTTAAAGTTGAGCAGTCCATTAAAACTTTTTTGTTAATTTAATAAGTCTGTTCAAATTAGAAAAATAATAAAAGTATTTTATAGGTTTAATATTTTTAAAATAATTAATTAAAGGTTATTTTGTTTCCAGCTTACTTTAATTATGTAATTATGGAAAAAGTATATGTATAATAAAAAAAGTATAAAATAGGTGAATGGGGAAGCGGGCATGCCCTCTTAAACACACTCCTGCGCTGTAGCTAATACTATGTAAGGGTGTTACATTTTTATTAGCTCCGGGCGTCAAATATCCTAGATTCAGTATTGCGGATATTGTTTAGTGTTTTTCAACTTTCGTATTATGGTGACACACAATTAAAATATTTCATACTTTACGACTCACTATAAAAATAATGGGTAATATTTAATTTTTATTTTTAATAAAAAGTATGTAAAATATGTCGATAAAAGATAACTTATTTTATCGTGAAAATTATATCAAAATAATAATATGTATATAATATACATTACTATAACTTGTGAGTTTTTGGAAATTCTATCAAAAAACTTTGTAAATTATATGTCATACTATAATATACTTTGTGACATATTTGGACTTATTTTGCGATACATTGGTTGAAAAACACTGCGTTAGCTAGTATTACACCTGCTGAATACATTAACACTATGAGTAAAAATTATATTGATAACTTGTACCATACGTCATACGAGATGTAATTTATATAAGCTTTCCTAAAAATGTATGTAAATTAAAAAAAAAACAAACTCAAATTTTGTTTTGCTTTTAAAAAGCTACTCCTTTGCTACGACATAGTATTTAATTAATCATAACGTAAAATTAATAACTATTAAATAGTTATCACATTAAGTAATTATTGTTTATAATTTATTATAACATATTTTAATTTTTAAAATATGTTTTCGACGGTTAGATTAAGTTTAGCTCTGTGCATAATTTTAGATTATATTTTGGTCATAGGCCACACATGAGTCACCCCAAATTTAAAAAGATCATAATCAATAATAATAATAATAATAAATCGAATAGGAATAACTCACAATTTCGTTTAAACTGCTTTCATCGGGAATGAAGTCCATGGAATTGTTTTTGAATACTTTGAACTTCGGCTCAAACAACACGTAACACCGAGCTAAACATTGTTCGTAATCCGGTCTTTGGAAAACGGATGGTCTGAAAACATTTTCGGGCGATGACGGCGGCGTCATTGGTGATGGTGTTGTGGGCATCGGCAACGGGGGCGGCGATGGCGCTTCTGGCATTTGAATTGCCCGTTGTTGTATTGCCGGCATTGTCGGCGCCGACGAGGGGCCCGCACCGGACGACGAGGAAGCGACGTCGGTCGGCGGAGGACCGGCCTTGTACACGACTTTTGCCGCGGACAACCACATTTTTACCGAATCTTCCGTTTCTCTGGACCCCGTGCACGCGCGCAGGTCCAGCATTTCGATCAACTCGGACGGTGTTAGGTATGGGTACTCTTGGGCCAGCGACCTCATCTGACTGGCCAGCGCGGTGCACACGATACGGTTGTGGTGCAATTTGTCTTTCTTGTTCTTCCGACGGTTTTGCACGGAAATGGCGTGGTCCGACCTCATCGCCGCGTCCGCCGAATCGTGGCCGCTACTTGGTTCGTCGATGACTTTCGCCAGCCAACCGAAGGTGCTGCGTTGCGGGCCGTTGTTTATTATATTCCTGTTGGGCTTGCGCAGCTGCCTGTTGCTGATGGCCAGTTCCCGGAGCGACCACACCCTGTACCGGCCGCAGTCCCGGGACACCACCCACACGGTGTCCCCGTCCTTTTCCAGGTCCAGTCGCGTGTCCACGTACGCGGCCGTGCACTCCTGGCACTCGCGACGCTCTTTGTGGGGGCGGTTTTCGTGACGCGGGCAACAGCAATCGTCGATCCACTGCTCTTGCAGCTTCTCGTCGCGTCTCTTCAATTCCTCCACGTCCACCGGGCGGCCGGTCCCCTGGTCGCGGAATCCCAATGGCGCCAGCAAGTGGGTGTCGGTGTCGTACTCGTACTCGTAACCCAAATCCTCGGACGTCGGCGGGTTCGCCGGATCGAACATTCCTCTTACTGGCGGACGCCGTCCCACGATAACGCCGCACAGCATGGTCCAATGCGCGGACTGGCCGCCGTTGTTCGTCGGTCTCAGCTTGTCGTCGGCATCGAAACTGAAACACGCGGCCGAGCACAAAACGTCGTATTGTAATAGTATATTATTCTATGGTTGTAAATTATTCGATTGTTATTAATTCTTTGTGTGTGTGCGGTGATGGACATATTTTACATATTTGCACTAATTAATCGATGAATTAAAATTGCTCTATGATGGATTTATGATACTATAATAATATGTATGCCTACTGCAGAAAGTTATGTTTAATAAGATATTATATATTACTAACACGAATCCCCTGAGAAAAGTTCTCCCCCCTCTCAAAATTACTTGGCTAAAATTTAAGATCACAAAATTTACCATAACACTGTATTATCTATAACATAGGTTTTACAAAATTGTTTTTCACGTCATTCTGTGTATAATATCAACACAAATTCTTACAGTAACTTGACCTATCTTCTACGTCTATGGCGGCGCCGTAAGATTTAAAACATCATGAAATAAGCATTGAAAATTTCAAAGAAATGTCTGATTTCTAACGATAGTGCATTGATATGTCTTAATGAGAACTTGTGGATACTTCGTACAATGCTTTGCACCTCTATCGCAATTTATTTTTCCCAAATAATTCATTAACCGTTGAACATTCGACAGACACTTATTGATTTATTGATATAAATTTAAATTAATAACTGTGAAGTTGCTAATCTCTGACATTTATTTTAATCACGGATCACATTATTTAATATATCATATCATTGACTAGGTACCGTACACATATATTAACTATAATGAAATCAATTTTGCATTAGTACAGAAAATAACTATAATTATAGAAACCAACAACAGTAAATTATTAAAATAAATAATGCATTTATTTAATGTAGGTAATTCGAATTTATCAATTACGATTGAATATAAAACGTGTTTCTTAGTAATATATGTTATTATTTTATTTTATAATAAATATTTGAATATCATTGTACTTGAGTTATGTCGTAAGCTCTAACAATTAATAAAGAACATTGTAACTTGACTTTAAATTTTAGTAATATTAATACAATCATAATAAAATTTAACTTTATTGGTAAAATAAATCAAGATTTAATTAACATTAAGCCGACAGTATTGGCAATATGCAAATTAAATGAAAACGTTAATACCAAATGTTTAAGTATAAATATTATTTTTACTGCCTGAAATACATCATGCGTTAGCATTTAAACGGATATTTTGTTTTTAGAATATTTTAAAAATTCAGTCGTTGTGTTAAAACAAAAATAACATTCAGATGATTTAAAAATAACATTTTAATATAAAAATGTTTAGAAGTCAATCGTTAGTTTATTGATATACATAAATACATCCAATATTAAAATTTTTAATTGATTTAATTTGTGTAATATTATCCATTTAATTTTTTTTTAGTAGCCCACTTGAAGTGTTATCATTTTTTATTTATCTCTAAGTGATTATATAAAGTTAACGACTATTTTAGCCCCTAAAATTGTGTGGAGTACGAAATTTAATTTATATCATGCATTTTTAGCTAAAGAAATTCAAAAGCATTGGTGCATTAATTTCTTATTTATATTTTGCCACCTCTGGTTTATATATTAAGTAATATAAATAAAATATATAAGAAACTTACCAAACAGCAACTAAGTGGCCACGTATTAGATGTTGTACGATAGATAATGTCGACGTATCACTTTCGTTTGATGTTCCTGGATTTCTCTTTACTCTCTTTGTTTTAGAGCAAGTATCATTGCTGTTGTTGGCCAATAAATCACGTCTCACCAATCGAATATTGTATAGATCGCCCATAAAAAATGTCGCCACAGTTACCAAAATTTCTAAATTAAACATATCACTCCAATGTGATATTCGGGAATCCCTGATACCAATTACAATTTGTGTCATAACTTCAGTATACCATACTGATTTATGAACTCCGAGAATGCCATATCTCATACTTCGACTACTCAAATATTGGGCACCATTTGGAAACTGTCGCAACAACTCTCTTGGCTCATCACATTCTCTTCCTTCAAGTTGTCCCATAATTATTTCGAATGTTGTCAGTTGAGTTATGGCGAGGAGCATAGATGAAAATCCATCACAGCTATAGAACATACGCATTTACATATTATTATACTTATATTAAATACTGATAACTTGAAATATATAATATGTTATCTATAATATATCCCTTTTGAAAATATAGGCGCCATGGGTATCAAGCAAATTAATTTTTTGAAAGACAGATTGAGTAATAAGGCAATTCAAAGTCCATTAAAACTTTAGCTCATGTCTAAAAAAAATACTAAGTTAAATCTCACAAACTTTAACCATAAGACTTTGAACATTAAAGTACTTTTCTTGGTGATTGCGGAAAAAATTAGGAAAAATAGTAGTAATCAAACAGAATCAGTTTTCGACGAAATAGATTTTTTTATTTTATTGTAGTTAAAAATTAAATGATCGTAGATACTTTAAAATTTTCCCATAATGCTTATTTTAGTACCTACTTATTATAAATTTTGACAACAATTGTTAAAATTAAGAGAATTTAAAAATTATTTTGTAACTAAAAACGTTTAACAAATAACTATAAGCATGTGAAATTTTCACTAAATGTATTTATTATCATTTCCTACACATGGCATGAATTTATATCTGTCTTAACTTTTTTCAATATTTAATGTCAAGAAAAATTGTTCAACTTTATAAAAATTGTTTCAATTATTTTTAGTAAAAAAAGTTTTTGTTAACCTAGAAAAGTTTATACAAATTCTTCATAAATAGTTCATATACTAATAAAAAAATATATTGAAAATAAATGGTCAAAACATTTATTTATAAGCTTTAATTTTAGAATTTTAACAAAATTCATCAAAATTTGAAAGTTATGTAGTAGTTAAAAATGTATATAGAGTTTTCTTGTTTTTTTTCTTAGATTTAAATATTTAATACGATGTTCCTTAAAATTTTTATTGTAAATATTTAAAAAAAATCAATTTTACATCATTGCAATTTATAAGCATTTGACGCTGAATGCAATTTCAATAAAATTTTTCCAAAATCACAAAAATTTTTACATTTTTTTTGTAGTTAAAAATTTATAAAATGTTCCATTTTTATAGTTAAAAATTTTAATACCTCGTTGCTCATACATAATTCATATTGGAACCAAAATCTAAAAATAAATAAGCATAATTTTTTTTTTTATTCACGTCTGAGATTCAAATTTGGACGTATTTCATATTTAAACAAAAAATAACAATATTACTTATTTATTTTGTTATAATTTAAAAACATTATTCATGATTCATTAAGACTTAAAGTTTTAGATAGATTCTGAATGTTTCTATACATTATGATACTTAAAAAAAGTAAATTAATTTTTAATTATTAGCTATTTACATTCATACTGTCTTGCAGTATATTAGCTAGAAACTTAACTACTATACCAGTGGTTTTTAACTGGTGTGCCGCGAGCGCCTTTGAAGTATGCCATGATAAATCTATTAATGGAGTTAATTTTGTATATATATATATAAATATATAAAATAAATTAATAAAAATATTATAAAAATTATTATAAAAATTTTGTAGAAGAAGAAGTGTGCTACATTGTTAAAAAGGTTGAAAACCACTGTACTATACTATAACATTAGTTTATTATAATTTATAAACTAACATAGTAATTAAATATTAAATATTAAAAAGCATTATTTTAACAAATATTAAATCAACCTGATATACGCCCCTGCCTCACACCAAAACGGAACCTTAATTAATAGCTTTTTTTGTTGTAATTTATTCAAAAATAAATAAAATATTTAGAGAATTGATTTTTTCACCAATTATTAATAGTATTTGCATTTTACTAATGGTTTATTTTTAAAATGTAGACAAGTAAATAATTAGCATACGTTTGAAGTCGAATGTACTGTAATCCATATTTTAAATTTGAATTCAATGACAGATCATTGCATATGAAAATTGATTTTGATAGTCCGTATATTACCAAGTTCATGTTATCATAATGTATAAATAAGTAATATCATTAAATTAATCTTATTGTTATAAAAATATCATTGAGTATATAAAATATAATAATAATACGTATACATATTAAGCCTCACAAAAAATATTTATGAAAAAAAAAAACAAAATAACTCAAACCATTATTCTTTGTTTAAATAAAATATTTCGTTCAAATCGGAACAAGTTGTGTCTATTAAATAAGTTATTATTATAATATGATATATAAATCACAAAATTAATTCTGCAATATATTAAATTTTTTTTTTTCGTATTAATAAGAATAAAATATATCAAAATACTTTATTATAATAATGTCTTTTAACAATGTGTTTTATATTATATTTTGCATATTTTTAATTAGTATATGAACAATCAATGAGTAACCTCATATTTCATTTTCAAGCTCATTATCTATAAATAATAATTGTATTTCACAATAATTGAAAAAATTTAAAATACCTATAAATAGCATAAAAAGGTATATACATATTTTTTAATTATGTTCTCCAGTAGCTCCACTTACATCGGTGCTCTACAAAATTTTCGTAACATTTGCTAATGCATCGTAAACTTTGAAGATACCCAAAAATAATATCCAAGAATGAATATTTTATAATTTAAGTTGTTATAAGAAGTTTTTTGAATGTTTGTAAAATATTAATTGTATTACTTCATACTTGGTATTACTTTTACGATTACTTCATTAAAAAAACAATAAAATACTGTAAAATGGTTTAAAATATACAATAAACTTACATTTGTCCAGTTTGTCTAACACATTGAACCGGTGATATCCAACAGTTCAGTGATATATGATTTTCCAATGATTTAACATAAAGGGATTTCAGGACCTCGCCATAGTACCATTTCCACTCGTGCTCTAGTTGAGATCTTAATGCGTGATTATATTGTTTGAATCTATATAAATAATGTGTTAAAGGTTTGTTCGGTGCCCGGTCAATGAGAATTTTTTTTTCTATTTGTTTATTTTCTTGGGCTCGGATCTCAACACGTACTCGCTCAGCGGCTAACGCTTCCGCGCGTTTTGCTTCCGCATTAAAAACCGGCTCCGCACATCGACGTATTGTATCGTATTGAAGACGAGCCGAACGTCTTGCCTCCCGAATGACTCGGCGATTACGCCGTTCGCTGCACGATGTTCGCATATACAAATCGAACCGTTTTCGTAAACGCCGATCCCAGTAGTCACCATTGCGGCCATTAATGAAAATATCCAGTCTGCTCGTTTCCTCTTCGTCAGAAGTTTCGGTAAAAGATGTAAATCCGGTTATACGGGGACGATTGTACGCTACACCAATAGGCCCGCTATCAGCGCTGTCCGAATCGTAGCCACTATTGTTGGGCGAAGACGAGTGAAATGAACTATTATCATCTATATCAAAATCATGTACCCATTTTGGAGGCCAATTGTATACTCCTGTGTTCAGGTCGGTCCGAAGTTTCGGTACTTCGAGATCCCGTAAACCATGACAGAGGCCTCGGGGTCCGATCAATGCTGATACCATTGTTGAATCACATTCATTAATGAAATTATTTTCTACTACATTCGCTCGTTTGCGGCGATGAGTCGATAAAATTGCTGTTATCATCTTCATCCAAGCGTCATAGTTGGAACGATGATTAGCCCATAACCATTTAATTGCACTCATAATTGTTAGGTCATCAAACGTTTTGACTTCAGGTGTATAAAATTTAAAACTTTTCCAATCAGGAGGCATATCATAAAAACTTTTTGTCAGATACTCTAGTGGATGAGAATTAGAATTGAACTTAAAAGCTTCCTCGTAGGGCATCAACAACGTAAAAATAAATTTTTTCGTCCGCGTTTCTGATTCTGTAGATGTCCAGCTGTCTATATTATATCCTAACTCGAGTAACGTTGGTACAGACACTCTGGTTTTGTAATACATAGTCTCGCGTATATCATCTATTGGTAAATCCTTAACCGATATAGGGGTAAATGAGTTTTTTGGATGATTCCAGTTTATTTCTTGTTCATTAGATGGGCCTGCTGCCTTACAATCAAATACATGAGATAAATCCATACTTACTAGCTGTGATATTGGTAGTAGTCTGAGGTATCCACTATACGCCACAACACGAATAATACACCTAACTGCACCGTCCCCGTATAATATGTGTGCACGTGTGCAAAACTGGAACAATGTTGATTTATTGGAAATCTCAGTAACTGGTACGATATCACGGCTGAACAAAGACAAATTAGTAGAAAAAAAAAATTAAAACAAAATTATAAAAAAATTACGACTACCAAAACAAAAACTGTTCACAAAAAAAAAAAGAAAAATCAATAAGCCAAACGCGAAACACTAATCAATACTATTACAAAAATCAAAAGTTTACCGCGAAGAGTAGCGCGCAAATAACCAACTGCGATCTTACTGGATCGGAATGAACCAGTCCAATGCGATTCAAAATTCGGGAACGGAGAACGACAATCAGCCGTCGTCGAAAGCGCCACTAACGCGGGTCAAGTAAGTTCCGCTGCGGCTAGGTCACTAACTAATACTGTGCCAGCGTCATTGAAATACCACTATCATTATCGCCGTCAACCCCACCATCACACTTTAACCACCCTACCAACACTATTGATAACAACTTCGCTACCGTCGATAACTCCTTCCTCCGTGATAACGATATACGTCTTTATCAATAGGTACAATAAAATACTATAACCGATCTCAAACCGAATTTAAACAGTTCCAAATAATGCGTGTTATTTATGACCGAAATTATTTCTGACGTTGAGAATTTATTGCATTTGTGCATTTTTTCCCACTCCACTGTATTGTTCAATAATTATATTTACCTGTTATATGTGAAGAAAAATTCATTTATGATTTATTTTTTATTTTTTTTTAATGTCATTTTTGGCTCTATTTAGTTATTTTACAATATTATTCGTATAACCTACAATTTTAACGATATTTATTAATTATAAATATGAAAACATCGTTTTAAAAAAATTACAATATTTGCATTTTTACCGACACAAAATATACGTCTTCATACTAATTATTTCTGTCACCCATCGGCTATTAAACATAATATGTAATTTCATAAATAAAAGTAAACAAGATATTAATTAATTTAAAAGGGCTATGGGAAAAACGAAAATAGTCAAAAAAAGGAAAAAAATCTTGTCATTACTGTTTCCGGACGAATCGACGCATGAATCGAGTAAGGGAAAAAAGACCACCGTCAATGATAATATTATACTGGTCTAAATATACTCATGACGGCAAAAAGAGATCAGAGTCCTAGCTTTAAAATTACAACACTAAACAGTTTAGGAATATTTATTGTTATCGTTCTTCCTCGTAGCCCTTTTTGTACAACTATTGCAAATTTAGTTTTTTTTTAGTATCTACAATAATTAAGCATTGAAAGCATGTATATTGTCACTGTTTATTTCATCGACAAATAATCTAATTTCTATAACACCGACTTGATCATCCCATAACATTATCAACATCACCTTCGCCAACACACCAGCACGTTTAATATATTTAATTTCGGACATAATATGTAAACGTCCAAAACGCATAACGAGTATTTTTAAAATTCAAAATACTGTTTTCTTCATCAATTAATATTTCGGCATAACTTTCAAACTAGTATAATGAACTATTTTGACAAATTACGCGTGTCATTTTCGGGCGATTGTAAATTGCACCTACAATGCACAGGTAGTAAAAATAGTACAGTAAATTGCGCCCGGTATTTTCAGGTATAAATTTGTGTATAAATAAATTGCGCTCATTGTAACTGTTTTAAACACTTTTGTACATTTATTCGTTAATTGTTCGGTTTTAAAGACGTTATGATATTAGAGATACAATGACTTTACACATATTACGACTACGTTTTCTTACGAACTGTATTTAGTCAGAAAGTAAATGAAATTATAATCTACGAAAATAATAAATTTACTAATTTAATTATTTCAAGCAAACTAAGCAACAAGCAACATTTTGGAGGACAGTGATAGTAGCTGATTTCCTCTGGGTAACGCTAAGTTTACTATGCATAGAAATGTATACCTGAAAAATATCGGGTCCAATTTACTACACAACAATTTATATTTGAAAAATACCGGGCGCAATTTACGTTTGTTCTCATTTTCTATTCCTAAAATCTAAAAAAACTTATGATACCGTTGTAGTAACCTCATTAAGTTGGTTAATAAGATTAGACAGACATACGGAACGGAGACAACCTGGGTACGTGTGTGGTAAATGAATATTAAAAAAAAAGCAGTCAAGTTTTACGTATAAATTGTACTGTAAAATATTTAAAAGTCTATTCAGTATCGACGACGGACAAAAACTACAATTCGGGGTCATTGTTCCGACGTTTATTATCGAAATATTACAAAAACGCATATTATATATATATATATATATATATATATATATAATTTAGATAATAAACAATATAGTCGATAACGATCTTAAATGGGAAAATCATCTTATTCGGTGCTATCGGTTTATATATATATATTTATATAAATAGAATGAGAAATAATAATCAATATAACATTTTATTAAAGTATTTTAATATTGCCACACCATCTATATATAGTACGCGTATATAGTATATACAGGGAATTTCTAAAATGAATAAGGTTGCTAGTATACGCGTACTCACTGTGATGACCCAATGAAGATTTTTTTGAAATTTTTTTTTCTATCTTCAAAATCTGGGTTTTAGAATATTATTTTTAATGTAAAAATCAACACGCTAGTTGTATTTTTTACAAAATTCTCATACGAGTCAAGATGTCACATCGTTTATGAGCTTGTCAGCTTGTCATGCGATTTTCACGCTCGAATCGCTGACTTAAAAAAAAAGTGGAGTGACACATCGATTTGCATAATATTACTGCAAGATTAACAATGATGATAGTTATTTGATATAATTTAACATGCGTGATTAATTAACACATTGTTTTATACTTTTACATATAAAAAATAAAAATGTTCAAAAATGAATATCCACATCAAAATACTATCACAGCTATTCGATTACTGGATTACGATTATATAAACGGCTTCCATTATACATATACTCTATCATATTTATGCTAAATAATTTTTCATTTCGACTTCCCAAAACTTCCAATATAACATTTATCTTTTAATTGAAAAAGATATTAAAATTGAAAGTTGAAGCATATTTTCTATTATAATTCCTGTAGAGTGTAAATATACATAAGTACAAACATCATTATAAAATCAATACATGTTATTAATTACACCGCTCAAAATCTAAAATAAATATAATAATTATTGTTAAGATTTGAAAAATTAGTATAATATAGTATCTAACTAAAAATCATACAGATTTTTAAAATTCAATTACGACGACTCGTCATTATAAAAAACATATTGTAGACCTAAAAAGGAATCGTGTCAGAATTAGTGTGCGACAAGGTTTGCTATCTTTTAATGTAGGTACCTACTGGGTTGATGTAAAACAACTTATACATTTTAATATGTGACATTAAATAATAATTACTCAATAATAATATAATACATTTTACATTTTATAAGTCGTAAAGTTATAAACTATTACATACTATTCGTATTATACGGACGCATCGGAGTCATCGGACGCTCCGCATGTATAAAAATAATTTTAACACCAAAAGTCCGCACGACATAAAACTAATATAGTTGATAACATTATAATCAATATATTTATTTTACCTGAGTATGACCTTTACAAAACGAATTTAGTTCTATGCACATTCTCTAACTAATAGTAGCTAAAAATATTATTCTTTAAAATGATTAAATATTATTACATAATATCTAATATAAGAGGATGTCAGCGCACTGTTTGTTTTCTCGCTCTAGCCCACACGTAACATGGTCCAAACGTATTTGTATTTTTGACGGTTTTGAGTAACCAAAGTGTAAAAATACATGTTTCAAAAATTATGTAGGATAATATTTCTGAGGGTTTAAAATATTAATTTTTTATTTAATTATTATTTAACTTAATATTTAACTTTTAAAATAAATAAAAAATAATATACATTGAAATGATGTTTAAAATTGTTTTGAGACAATATTTAGAAAAATCGATATGTCAAATATACCCTCAAAAATATTATTATCTATAACTTTTATTATGGGTGGATTTTACTCTGGAATTACTCAAAAATATCAACAAAAAAAAAGGATGATTATGCATAAATGCGTTTTATCTAAGTTACGCGTGGGCCAGAGAGAAAACAAACAGTGCACAGAAATCCTCTTAATTAATTTTTATTAAAATATGGCAAGTGAGATAAGTTTTGTATACGTATTGCAATCAACGAAAAAATGTGCTCTTTAGTATAAAATAATTATAAATATTCCAAGTATACAGAATTTAAATCCGGATAAATTGAATGGAAATTTATTCAAATGACGTGTAAAACAAAATTATACATAATTGGCGTTGATAATAATTTTTTACAGAGACTTAATATTATATTAGGTACTTATTATTGCTCTTCCAAGTTAATAAAAATTGAAATAGCGACAATTGATAGGTATAATTTTAAGAAAAATTTAGTTTCGTTGAATAAAATTTAATTTTAATTTACAATAAACTTTAATAATATAAATTTTATTTAAACAATAAATTAATTAATACAATAATAAATACCTATTATGTTTATATAATATATAATGTGTATGAAGTTTTGGTGTTAAAGAAACTTATGTACGGAATTAGAGTGTTAAAAAAACCTTGTATGCGGATTTAAGGTTATATATTATAAAAATGACTACGATGCGTGAGCAATAATTACGGTACACCGTATTATTCAATTAAAAAGAATATTACAGTAATAATTTTAATAGATTACTTTTTAGAAAACCATAGAAATAATTCAGTAATACAATAATCTACCAATAAAGTTAAAGTAACAAAAATAAAGCTTTAATAATAGAGACTACTAATTTTAGTGTTCGTCAAACGTAACTTATAGGTAGTTATTATAATTATTATATGAATATTAAATTACATT